ATATATTTTTTCTTTTTTCTTTTCTTTTTTTTGTTAGGACTATATTTTCTGTCTTGGAAAAATCATTAGGTTATAGCCATCAAACCTTTGGTTCTTTCTCCCTTTTGTTCTCCTAGAATGGAGAATGGTGTGTTGGGAAATGCCTTGGAAGGTGTGCATGTGGAAGAGGAAGAAGGAGAAAAAACAGAAGAATCTCTGGTAGCAAATAATGATAACACAGATGGTATGTGGATTTGCACGTGACATTCAAGGGATGCGACGTATATTTCTTGTATACAAGTGATGGAAATAGGGCTCTCTCTGCCCTGGATGGTCTCTCCTAAGATGTTTGGGGTGATGCTTGCATCTGTTGGAGACTGCAGTGGGTGTAGCCAGTTACTGAAACTAACAGCAGGCTTTTGTAAGAGGATAACTTAATGTCTCAAATAAATCTGGTTATTTAAATTGTTGGGGTTTTTTAACTAAATGATAAAAGCAAGATTAAATTGGTGTTTTAAATATTGTTACAACCTTAAATATTTTTCTGATGCAAGTTTTTTAAATAGTCTGTGCAGCTCAGTTATTTTAATAGCAATACTTCGGGAGCCCTTTTACATTTTTTATGTCTAAGAAAGTTAAATGTTAATTTCTAACCTGAGTTTGGGTACTAGAGTTTTACTTATCAGATGCGGGTCTGTAAGGAGAATGAAAAGCTTGGCATTTCTTACCTAACTGGTAATCAGAATGCTTAAGTAAAATGATATCTAGTTTAATGAGCTTGGGTTTCTTTTGCAATAAGTTGCTCTGCTAGCTGGGATTCTCCCTTTTCTTTTCTCAAAAGGGCAGATAATTTTTAGGCAATCTGCTAAAACTTGCTAGGCTTTTTGAGGGTTTAAAGGGAATGTGTTTTTAGTTTCCATTTATGCCTTTATCATTAAACTCGAAGACATGTTTATGCTTCATGTTCTTTAACCATGTAGAGGAAGCAAGGGAAGAGTTGAGAGAACAGGTTTATGACGCCATGGGAGAAAAAGAAGAAGCAAAAAAAACAGAAGACAAGTCTCTGGTAAAGCCCGGAACTGATAAAGAACAGGAGAGTGAAATGGAAAAGGGTGGAAGAGAAGATATGGATATAAGTGAGCCTGCAGAGGAGCTACAGGAAAAAGTTGAATTGATTCCAGATCAGTTAATTGAAACCTCTGAAGAGGCAAAAGGAGCGGCAGCACCAGGAGGACTAAATGAAACTGAGGTCATTTCTGGGAAACCAGAACAGGAAACACCAGATGCTGAGGAAGAAAAATCAGTTTCTGAAACTGATATCCAAGAGGAATGCAGAGAAAAAGGAGGTCAGGAGAAGCAGGGAGAGGTAATTGTGAGCATAGAGGAGAAACCAAAAGAAGCTTCAGAAGAGCAGTCTGTTGTGGCTCTAGAAAAGCAGGGTGCTGAAGTGGAGGTAGAAGCAGAGCCTGTAGACCCGACAGTCAAGCCAGTGGATGTGGGTGGGGATCAGCCAAAGGAGCAGGTAGCTACTTCTGAAAATGAGACAGGAAAGGCTGTTCTTGAGCAGCTGGTAGGGGAGGAAGTGCCTGCTGCTGAAGAGTCACCAGAGGTGACAACAGAGGCTGCAGAGGCCTCAGCTACGGAGGGTGGATCAGAAGTTTCTGAGAAGCCTGGGCAGGAGGCCACAGTTCTTAAGGATGGTGCAGTCAATGGACTGTCAGCTGCAGGAGATCAGACTCCCGTTGAGTCACAGAATACTTTAGAAAGACTGACAGAAACAAAAGATGGTTCAGGACTAGAGGAGAAGGTGAGCACAAAGTTGGTTCCTAGCCACGAGGAGGCTAAGCTGTCCATAGAAGAGTCTGAGGCAGCTGGAGATGGGGTTGATACCAAGGTAGCCCAGGGAGCTACTGAGAAATCACCTGAAGACAAAATTAAGATAGCTGCTAATGAAGAGACACAAGAGAGAGAAGAACAGATGAAAGAGGGTGAAGGTAACCGGGATATGCAAGAGCTGCAGTGGGTGGAGTACATTCTGGATTTGACTCACTAATCATGGGTAAAAGTCAGCCTTCCATTCAGGATTTTCCGTCTGCCTTTGGATTAGGAAAGGGCTAAATGAAAATGGGAGTAGTTAAGAAGGTTGTGATAAGTTGAGTAAGTTAAATAAAAAGCAGCAAGTCTTTAGCTGGCTTATAAACTAACGCTTTTACTAACTGCAAAATAGGTCTTTGTGATTTATGAGAACTTGGCTAGCTATCAGTAACATGTTGCACCATACTAGCCAATAAAAGGGGATGGAAAATGTGGATGAGGGGTGGGGTAGGTAGGAAAAGAGTGGGCTAGGCTGGCAGAGAATGCTGAATGGACGTTCACTTGCATGCCTCTGGATTTTTTTAATTTATTGTTCACATGACTCCTTTTCTCTGCTTTAGGAAGCAGGAACAGAGCAGTAGAATCCACTGAATTGGTACACTTAAGCAGGCATGCCATTTAAATGAAGGCAGTTAACTTTGAATGTTCTATCACCAGAGTTAAAGAATTCTGGTGCCCCTCTCTACCTTTAGTCTTCAGGAATTGTTTAGACTCTAAACACTAAACTTTAGAGGCTTCTCCACATTAGTTAAAATAGCCCCTAGCCCCAAGACAACAAAAAAATGTAACCATTAGCTCCCTCGCTGCTTTCCCTTCACATTTCATGCTTGCTTTGGCTGCTAAACTGAATTTTTTGTTACTTAGAATGCTATAAAATGAAGATGCTTTGTATTGCTATTGGTCTAATTGTGATTCAGTTTCATTAAGATGTATAAGCCTCTAATTAGTGATTCCATAATTGGCACGTCTGACTTGTGCTATCATTTGAGGATTCTACTGTATTTAAGGTTCATCTAACATTGACATTAATAACCACAGGTATTTTCCAACTAATTGTTACTTCATGTAATTGCCAGACTACTTTGAGTTCTCTTAAGTTATAGATTTTCAAAGACCCATCTTTAATACTTGGACTTCGTTCTGGTAAACTTCCTTCTACCTATGTGCAGGTCCCGGCACTCCAGCCAGCACAGGCATAGTAACCAGAAGTGAATTGGCTAAATGGTAGCACCATTGGGCTTCTTATCAAGCTTTAGGAGTTCTTTACGGAAAAGGCACAGAACTGAATTCCTCAGGTTTTAAAAAACTCCCATGTCTTGTTCTTTTCTAAAATCTATTTGTTTTTAGAGATAGGATCTCACTCTGTTGCCCAGGTGGGAGTACAGTGGTACGATCATAGCTCACTGCAGCCTCAAACTCCTGGGCTCAAGCAGTCGTCCTGCCTCAGCCTCCCAAGTAGCTAGGACTACAGGCTTGCACCACCATGGCTGGGTAATTTTTTTTTCCCCCATTTTTTGTAGAGCCAGGGTCTCATTATGTTGCCCAGGCTGGTCTAGAACTCCTGGCCTCAAGCAATCCTCCTGCCTCTGCCTCCCAAAGTTCTGGGATTATAGGCCTGAGCCACTGTGCCTGGCCATACACATTTCTTATGATTCCAAAACAATACTATGTGGTGTATGTAGTATTGCTCAAGTTATAGTGATGAGGAGAATGAGGCTTAAAAGTTACATGACTTGGTAAGAGTCAAACAGTAAGTCATAGCACTGAATTCAAACTTAGATCTACCTTGAATATATTGTTCTCCCTAAACTACCTCACAGTAAGGAAAGCAATGTTCTCCCTTTTCTTTCACTCACTTCTTATCAGAAATTTCCTGATCACTTATTTTTAAAATTAACTGTACTTAAGAAAGCCCTGGGCTTTTCATATGTTGGATTTTTTGTGCTGTGTACCAGGTACTGTTCTGTATATAAAGATGACATAGTTTTCCATATTTTACAAATGAAAAAATGGGAGAAAGGATCAGTGATTTGCCCTAATCACATAGCCAGTAAAGAGAAGGCTGGGTACCCAGTCTGTCTGACTGTGGGTCCCAGCCCCTTACTTTCTGTGCATTATTTCTCTTCATGTGGCAGCATCAGCCTGCAGAAATCTCACAGGCGGTTTTTCTCTTCACTTTACTACCAGCTTTTGACTTTTTGCAGCCTCTTGGGCTGTCCGTATCTCCCTAATAAAGATAATTGGTCTGTTCTTTTCTAATTGTCACGTTAGAGGTGGTTGATAAACAAATAAAAATTTTAAATTGTAGGTATAAAGCTTGGCTATGCTCAGATAGACTGCACTGGCCAATCTGGTGGCACTTCCCTGTGAGAGTGCTAATATAACCGAGAATTGGTATCTTTTCTTTGCCTTTAATAGTCATTCTTCTCATTTGTACCATTTTGTGCCCATATTGTTCTGAGGATGCTACAAGATCAGAGAAATTGTATAAAAAGATATTTCCCTTTCTCTGAAGGATGAAATAGACATAACTAGAAAAGATAGTCCATTATCAAAGAAGCTTGGAAAATAATTTAACAAATTTCTTTACTGAGGACATCACGGCATTGTCAATTAATTCCTGGGTACAGGTTACCATATTGGGAAATGTTTTAAAGTAATGGCTTTCTCATTGACCTAACTCCACTCCACCATTCCATGACGGTAATACAGATTCCTCAAGAGAAACCAGTATTCTTCTTGGGCGATTATAACAATTTAAAAATTTGATGTAAAACTTCCAAGTATTTAAGATAGTTTCTTACAAATTAGAGGTCATCTTCTAGCATTCTGGTATGAGTAGAAACAGATACTACTAATTAAGAAGAGTATAGAATAAAAATATCAAATTTAATTTTTCCTACAAATTGGAAAGATGAATTTTTTTTTTTTTGAGACATAGTCTCGCTTTGTTGCCCGGGCTAGAGTGCCATGATGTCAGCCTAGCTCACAGCAACCTCAAACTCCTGGGCTCAAGCAATCCTTCTGCCTCAGCCTCCCGAGTAGCTGGGACTACAGACATGCGCCACCATGCCCGGCTAATTTTTTTCTATATATTTTTAGTTGTCCAATTAATTTCTTTCTATTTTTAGTAGAGACGGGGTCTCGCTCTTGCTCAGGCTGGTCTCAAACTCCTGACCTTGAGCGATCCACCCACCTCGGCCTCCCAGAGAGATAGGATTATAGGCGTGAGCCACCGTGCCCGGCCGGAAAGATGAAATTTTTAAAAGTATTTTATTATTATTTTTAAACGTTAAATACATAGATCTACTTCAGCTCTCTTGCATGTTCTGCTGGAGATTGGGCAGAGTTAAGAAAACCATCCATCTGTTCTAAACTTAGGGAACTAAGGCCAAACCCACTTGGAAATTTAGATATGAAAAGAATGGTGTGTGGTGGTGGCTATACTTCAGAAGCACTGGATTATAGTGAAAGGAGAAAAGCAAGCCACTTGATAAAACAGGATTTGTTTGCTATAAATGTTTAACTGGCTTGATTTGTCACTGGTTCTTAGAGGACTTCTTTAGTTTGTCATAGTAATATGTAATATATAGGAATTTTCTGTGCCTCTTCCCGTCCTGAAACAGTATTGCTGCCAGTAAAACACCTTTAACCAGACTTTATCACTCTACCTAATTGCCATGTTTAGGAGATAGTGACAGTATTTGAGCTCTTCTGTTGGTATTAAAAATGCTTAATGAGATATGACAGAGGTAGGCACATTATACACAATTCATGAATTGTTTGTATCAACAAAAAAATCCATTTTAGTCATTTGACGTTGTGAATTTTGTCTTACCACTGAAAGTGTAGAGCTGTTTATTAGGAGCCTGACTTTTAGGCAGTTGACTGTGAGTATATGTCAATATGGTGTTTATGACTTCAGATTTAAAAAGAATGATTAATAAGGCACAGGAGTGAAATAACGGATTGTGGTATTATTCACTGAAATTCTGTATGTGCTAGAGCTGGCTGGAGTCTGTGGCATGCTCATTGGTAAGAGTTGGTAAGAACTATGCTTTTCTCTCCATGGCTCTGTTGTGGGAAAGCTAGTCTCTTGAGCATTCTTCCTCTGAATGGACTGGAATAATTTAACTTTTGGTATTTTCCCAGGCTATTAGTATTATCTAATGGGTGGCTTAAAGATATCAGAAACAGTGGCTGAGGTCTCTGCCTGCTTCTGGCTGAATGAATGTGAGCTTCTAGCCAGTGAATAAGAGGCAGTAGCTAATCTGTCTCATTCTGAATGATCCAGGTTGACTTTTATAAGAGAAACACTCAGCCTTTTAATTGCTGAAGATCTAACCCGTAGACTATATAAGGTTATACTTTCTAAATCTAGGTTAGACTTGAATTAGACTATAACCACTGATTTTATGTTCAGTTCAGATGCTGACTGACTTGGATTAGCATCTGGCTTGTCCTATGTCAGCATATAAGTTGACATGTTTATTGGAGTCTCTGACTAGTCAGAAGATATCTTTAGTTTTATTCTCAATACCGAGGAATTTTTGTTTGTAGAAACTGAAGGCTCAGAAGAGGAGGATAAAGAAAATGACAAGGCCGAAGAAATGCCACACGATTCAGTTCTTGAAAACAAGGTAAGTTGTTATTCATTCAGTACGGTCGTCTGCTTTCTTATTGCAGGACTGTAGCTTGCTATTATATGCATGACAATTATAGATAGCTGTCTCCTGGTTAGGAATTAGGGACCCTTTTAGTCATGCCTAGGATGGACAGATAATTCGATCCTAGGGAGTCCTGTCTGTTAGTATATGACCCCAAATTTCATAATTAAATATCACTGACATAATGTGATGACTTAGGATAGAAACCTTGTAGGGACCCATTCTCTACGTTATAGGGAGAAAGTCTAAAAAAAAATTTTTTTTTTTTTGAGACAGAGTCTTGCTGTGTTGCTCGGGCTAGAGTGCTGTGGTGTCAGGCTAGCTCACAGCAGCCTCAAACTCCTGGGCTTAAGCAATCCTTCTGCCTCAGCCTCTTGAGTAGCTGGGACTAAAGGCACATGCCACCATGCCTGGCTAATTTTTTCTATATAT